TTTTTTATCACCTTTTTCTTACTAGTTTCTTTATTTTCAAATCATCTTGAAAAAAGTAAGTGATTTCCAGGAAATGTTACTTTCAATATACCCTTATAAGTAAGAAAGGATGTGGGTGAATATGCTTGCTGTAATCTTATTCATTTTTACGTATTAATATAATTAATTTGGAAAATTGTCGTAGGGTAGAGGCTGGGTAAAACCTGGACACACGTGGGCAGCCTGTCAGTCGATCACACTTTGAGCCACTCGCCAATGCCTTTGGAAAAGATTTTGTGCTCAGTTTAAAATCTCTGTGACTGGGTTAATAATACAAAGCTGTTCATTGAGTTTAAAGCCCATGATGCTTCTTGTGTGAAAGCCTCCATCCTTATCACAGACACCTTTCAATTACCCCGGCTGGCTCTGAGCCACCTTTCTGTTTGTTTTCATTCAGTGGGAACTCTAATGGCGTTCATGGCTTCCTGCAGCAGATTTTCGCTATCACCGTATATGTGTTTAGCTCAGTCCATTTAATTTCTTCTGCAGTTCAGGGCGAATATAAAACTAAGCATCAGAATCATTCAGAAACACAACACTGACTCGCTTCACAAACACAAAATGTCAGAGGAGAAACACACTGTATATTTCCATTTAGATGAAAATTTATATAAGATAAAAATGACCTCAAGTCTTTTTCATTGTGTTTTTCAGGATGCAGCAGCACGCCGTCAACCTTCATAAGCCCCATAAAACACTGGGATACTGAAGCATCATCAGCTGAGGATGCAGACAGTTCAAGTAAATGCCGTCCCTCCTCTTACTGCACACAACTTGCTCTACATCCATTATTTCAATGTGCTACATATCTAATATTTGAACTGCAGACAGTTTATGTGGCTATTTTACAAACACAGATGTTGTATCAGCCTACATCACACTCTCAGCCATGTTAGCAGCATGCTGGCTTCATGGACTGCAGCATAAGCCTGTCAGTCAGTTATACAAATGCATTGTTCCAAATTTCTCTTTATGAAATGTTCTGATATTAAAATGTTTGCAGACTTTGTTGGATGGACGAATGTCTGTTGCCCTGACTTTTTAGCACAAATGCTCATCCAAAGCAGACCAGTGCAACCATTACCTACAGTCACAGGAATCCCAGTGACTCTTTTCCTACCAAAAAAACAATTTTGTGCCTCAGCAGCCATTACTGTGAGTGCTACAAATATACTACGATTAGTATGAATTACAATAATTTAAAGGGGCCTACTATGCCCATTGCCACATCTCCATTTCCTTTGTCTCTAATAGAATAGCTTTGAATTAACAATAGAAATTAATAATTATTTGTACTTTCTCGCTGGGCCCCTCAGATCATCTTCTGTCTAAGCTGGTTTTATGTTGATTGGCTGCCCCTCATATCCACAAGATTTGAACAGCAGATATGAGAGAGTTGAGAGCTGTGTTTCCAGAGATGCCTGTAGAAATATATGCTCTCATGTTGGCATCATGAACCATGAGTAACATAATGTCTGAATCTCAGTGTGTAGTCTGAAGCCTGAGCTCACTGGGACGTCTGTATGTTTGCCGGTTTATTATTTAAAAACTTTGGCCAATGGGACAATATGTGTGAGACTGCCACTTCAACCTCATCTTCTGCCTACTGGCAAGAATTTAGTTGGTTCGATTTTTCATGATGCCAAAACAACAAATAGGTGGAAGTTCCTTTTGCTGGACGAGCTGTGGGGAAATTGCTGCAAACCATACCCAC